TGCCAAGGACGTTAAAGTCAATTATACATATAAGGAGTGAAGTTTCAGTACTGTTGTATTTATGACACTTTTAATTATACTTCAAAACATGTTATGAATTGGTCCAGGGATAGCTACCTTTCCTTAAAAAATATGTTCAAAAAATATTATATGAGTTTAGAGATGCTAATAAACTATGGTTCTCTACCACCATGCTGTTACTCCCTAGGGGACATTTGGCATCAGCTGGGGATGGTCTTCCTCCCAGGGGACATTTGGCACCAACTAAGAGTGCTTTTGCCTCCCAGGGACATTTGACAACATCTGGAGACATTTTTCATTATCACTACTAGGGGCACTGCGCTGGTGTCTAGTGGGTAGAGGCCAGGGATGTTGCTTAACATGCTATAATGCACAGGGTCACTCCCTTGACAACAAAGAGTTATCTTTCCCAAAATGTCAAGATTGCCAAGACTGGGAAACCCTGTACTAAACTTATCAGCATCAAACATACTCCAAAATGTTAAGCTCAATGATAGAAGAAAGTAAAAAGGGCAAAAAAGATCAAATGAAAGAAAGAATACGACAAAAAAAAAAAAAAAAAAAAAAAAAAGAGCTCTGAATCCATGAAATAAATATCTAAAGTTTTCTAATAAGTATTTATGGCTAATATGAGAAATGCAGTATGGGGTCATGCTGTAGTAATGATGACACACATATACAAGAACTGTGGGCAAACTTGGCAAACAACCATAAAAGAAAAAGGGTTGCTATTTAAGCTACATTTCTGGCTTGTTGATGAATGACCTGACTTAATACAATTATTTTATATCCTCATAGTCATGTTTCCCATTCCTATGAGGTGCCAGCAGTGGTAGCTAGTTGGGCAGATTTGTTCAAATAACAAAGGGTGACCTTCAGCTATAAAAGCAAATCTCTTTATTTCCAAAGTATGTTGACCTCCTCCAACCCAAGTTAAAAGAATATATACTATGATTCCATCTTTCAATGTATTAACATCAAGATGTACATGTCTGAAAATGGTCAAAATTTTGTACTAGAATAATGCATACTAAACTGTTAAGTTTTTACCTCTGAGGGACATGGGTGTAAGGGGGCATGAGGGTAAACATTCATATTTTGTTCTGTCTTGTTTTTGAATCTTTTATAATAAGAATGCATTCATGTGTAAAAACTTTTATTTTTACAAAGACTAAGCTTTCCCAAAAGCAAGATGCAAAAATTCTGCTATAGTTTGTTAACATTTAATGCAAATATCTTGCTTTGTATAATATACAAATTGTTCAACAGTTACAATAACAGCTTTAATCATGCTCCCAATAAAGGAATTTGCTAGCTGAAGAAATTCTACAGAGTTTATTCCATAGATTTAAAAATCTTTAGAAAACAAATATCACCCATAAATTAAATAATGTATTTGATGCAGGCCAGGCAAGCCCCCAAACTGGGGCTTAGCTTGGGACAGTTCTTGACTTTGTCCAGGAAAGAAATCAAAGGCATGACAATGGTAGGAGCCTCTATTGAAGTGGCAGTGTACAGCAGAAGCAGAAATACTGCTCCTTGCAGAACACAGCTACCCCATAGGCAATGCTCCTAGAACAGCAGCTAAAAGGCAGTTCTGCAATCATATTTATACCTGCTTTTAATTACATGCAAATTAAGGGGCAGACTATGCAGAAATTTCTAGGAAAAGGGTAATAACTCCTGGGTTGTTGGATCATTCCCACGGAAAGTGGCAGTAACTTGGGAGTAACTTATAGTAACTCACCATGCCAATGATAAACTAATATGGTGCACTGGTGGGCATGTCTTATGGAAACCTGTCTCTGCCCCTTCCTTGCTTTAGCTAGTCCTCAATTTGATCCAGTGTCCCAGCCCTGTCTCCGTTGTTGAGTCCCATCTTCTGCCTCATATTGAGCTACAGTTCCATACATGAAGTTTATTGAAAGAAAAGAACAATGCAATACCATCAGCACACCATTGTTACTACTGGGAATTTTACTGACATTTTTGTTATCTGTCTGAAAATTAATCAACTGATAACAACAGCACATGTGGGAATGTTAAAAGGACTTAGAAATTCTCCTACTAGTTATAAAAAATATATATACCCTCTGAAATGGATACCATAAATGTTTTACAACTTTTATGAGACTGATTCACTAAAATAATATATATAGCGATAGTCTGTCAACAGTCAAAAAAATGCTTTGAATTTTCTCCAGTCTGCTTTATTTAATTCTGAGCAAGAATAACTGTACTTTCTAGATGACGATTGATTTTCCTCATTTATTAACATATCATTTTATGGAGCAAAAATGAATTAGAAGAAAATCAGTTATTTCATCCAACTAAGACTAGGTAGGTATCAAAAGTTTTTTCACTCATCAATTAAGGCAATTTACAATAAATAGCCAAGTGAAATTTTGCCTGACACTAAAGCTTAGCTTGCCAAGGTATCAAAAATGAACAGTGAAAAACTGGAAAAGAAAAAGCTGTGATCATAAAATCAATCTACTTACGGAACTATAGTTTTATTCTCAGAAAAACTTTTCTCATTCCATCTAATATCATCTTCAATCCATTATACATATGCCACAATATAAAAAAAAAACCCTACTAATCCACTTAATAGCATATTTTAAAACGCATTGTAAATATACATATATTTATAAAAATATTTTAAGTTATACAGTCATGATTATGTATATTATTATACATTATAAATAAAATATATGTCTTCCCCAACTTTCCAAGGAGAGCTATGCATTAACATGGCACCAACAAATAAATCAAAACATGTATACTCTGAATTTCTCATATTCTAGCAGTAAGTGGCCCTTTCAACACATAAACATTTGACAGATTGCACCGTAATCTGGAAAAATAAAACAATGTAAGGATATAAGAGATAAATCTATGTAATTATTCCAACAGACAAAAACATGTAAATCAGGTTACTATTAAATTATACTAAATATATTTCTCTCCGGTTGTCACTACTTCTTAGACTCCCCAAATCATCAATCAAAATCCCAGTTGACTAGATTGTGTCGACTATCACTTCACTTCCAGTATATCTTGTAAAAATATGTTTTCTATTTCATTCAGGAGAAGATTGCAATTCAATCTGAAAAGAACCATGTTCTTAGGATTAAAGTCCTCACCTACATCTGTACATATGTATAATCTTAGGAAACAAAATGAGCCATGGAAAATTATGTAATTCCTTCCTATGGAATGAAATGAGGTAGTAAAGTGGCTAAGGCTAGATTGCACAGGGCTATGTACATCATGGGGGAGAGTTTGGCTTGTTTTCTGCTAATGTCTCTGAGATAAAAACTGATTTTGCTAAGTAGTGGCACTCAGGTAACAGAGGAAGGGTTAAGTGCAGGTGCGGCCCTCCCCCAATTCATTATCTAACATTTGTATCTTTCTCACAGCTCTTCCCAAGGCATATTTTAATATAAGCATTTTCAATAAGGCGTGTTTTCTTTAAAGGAAATGAGATCTTGAATTTATTGTTTCTTCATTCACTTATCAAATATTTGAAAGCCTACTGTGCCTGGCACTGTTATAGGTTTTGGGTTCCTAGGAGTATAAATAAATGCACAGCAATCTCTACTTTTATGGGGATTCTACTCTGTGGGTAAGAAATATAAGAATAGTGAATCATTACATGATATAGTATATTAGGTGATAAATATTACTGAGAACATTAAAATAGGATTAATAGGAAATACGACGGTGTTGTGATTTTAAATATGGAGGTAAGGGTAGGCTTGCCAGGAAGATGACTTCTGAGGAAAAAGCAGAAGGAGGTGAAAAGTGAGGCATAGGGACAGTTGGGGAGGAGCACTCAGGGTGGTGTGTGAACAGTGAGCAATGAGGCCAGAAAGGCATCAAAGGCATCAAGAGTCCCTGTGGGACTTCACAAGTAATTACTCTTCCTTTATATGAAATGGAAGCCAATGGAAGGTTTTGAGTAGAGAAGTGACATTTTGCAGGATCTGGGACACTCAAATGGAGAAAATGTACAGAAGTGAGTGCTGCAACTATAATGAAAAAATCTAACACAAAGCAAACAATCTAGTAGACAAAAAGTCAAAACAGTGTGAAAATCCATAAAGAGGTCAGTTGCTAGCCAAAGGCACTGTAATTCTTCAAATATATTAGAAGCTTCTTGTCACAGGATGAAACCTGTCCTGTTATCTGCATTTGCAAAAACAGAAAATGAGTTGTAAAAGGGAGTCTTTCTATTTTTCTCTGTTGTATCAGGCATACAAGTAAAAACAGAGCTATACCTTCTATTCAGAGCAATAAATAAAATTTCATTCTAACTGTAGATCAAATATCATGGCTTTTTCTTCTACGTTTTACCCTAAATGGTAATTGCCATCATTACAACTATTCATTTTTATATTTCATAGCAGCAATTTACTCATATCCTGCTTCTTCTTGGTGTTTCTTACATTCATTCCCTTACAATAGCCTCCTTTAATCTGCAATTTTGCTTTCTGTGGCTCAGTTACCTTCTATCAGTCACAGTCTGAAAATATTAAGATATTTTGAGAGACCGAGAGAGGGAACATTCATATAACTTTTATTACAGTATATTGCCATAATTGTTCTATTTTATTTTAGTTATTATTGTTAATCCTTTACTTTGCCTTATTTATAAACTAAACTTTATCATAGATTGGTATGTACAGGAGAAAACATAGTACAGGTATATACAGAGTTACATACTATCTGTGGTTTCAGGCATCCACTGAGGATCTTGAAACATGTCTCCTGAGGATGAAGGGGGCCTACTATATTCGTTAATCCAAGAAACCTTTATTTTGTACTTCCTCAACATCAAGTAGTATGCTAAGTGCTACAAAGACAATGATTAAATACAAAAAATTCAAAGGTCTGAAACAAAGACATTGGGAAACAGACTCTGATAGGCCACAATACAGAGAGAAAAATATCACAATACAGCAGTCTTCCCTTACCTGCGGGAGATACATCTCAAGACTCCCAGTGGATGCCTGAAACCAAGGATAACACCAAATCTTACATTTACCATGTTTTCTCCTATACATACATATGATAAGACTTAATTTATAAATTAGACACAGTAAGAGATTACCAATAAGTAATGTAAAAGAACAATTACAACAACATACTTTAATAAAAGTTACCATGCACTGCAGCCATAATTTTTAGTTTGAAATGAGATGGCAAAACTAGCATGAGTTTCTTTTCCTTCATTACAGTTTCATGGATTGAAGATTAATTTTCACCATAGATCTCAGCAATCTCAGCATATGATTTTTTTTTTCCTTTCCTTATTAAGTTGAGAACTTTCTCACCTTTTCACTTTTTAAAGTGGCATTTCAACGTTTATTCTTGGCATATTAAAATTCCCAGCATCACTACTCTGTGCTTTGGTGCCATTATTAAGTAAAATAAGAGTTACCTGATCATAAACACTGCTATACCAAGACAGCAGATCTGATAACGGGATGGCTACTAAGTGACTAACAGGTGGGAAGCACAGAGAGCATGGATGGCTAGACAAAGGGATGATTCAAAAGTACGGGATAGTGTGGGGTTTTATCATGCTACTCAGAACAGTGTGCAATTTAAAACAGGAATCACTTATTTCTGGAATTTTCCATTTAATATTTTCCAACCACAATTGACCAAAGGTAACTGGAACTGCAAAAAACAAAACCATTGTTAAGGGGAGGCTACTGTAATATATTTAAAGGGTATATAAAGAAAGATTAGTGGGACTGGCAACAAAGAACAGTATAATCTACTTGGCCTGTGGAGCCAAAGGAGGTTTTACAAAGTTAGTTTTATTAAAAAATTGTAGTTGGTAAAAGCACAAGTTATGGAGACACACTGGATGACTACATATTTGGCTGAGGCCTACATCCTAGCTGTGTGACCTTGGGCAAGTTACTCAAACTATTCGTGCCTTAAACCCCTTTAGTGGGAAAAAAACAAAAAGATAATAAAAGTATTTACCTCATAGGCTAATTTTGAGGATTAAGGGATTTAATACATGGGAAAAGTGCCTGGAACATCTCTGAGACATTAAAAGCATTACTAAATCATAGCAACTTTAATAATTTACACTAAACTTTGAATAACAGTTAATATTTTTCAAAAAGTGAACAGGGGGTATGGTGACTCACACATGTAATCACAGCACTTTGGGGGACCAACACAAAAGGATTGTTTGAACTCAAGAGTTTGAGACCAGCCTGGGCAAAATAGTGCGACCTCATTTCTACTAAAAATAAAAAAAATTAAAAAGACCTGGCATGGTGGCTCACACCTATAATCCCAACATTTTGGGAGGCTGAGGCAGGCAGATGACTTGATGTCAGTAGTTCAAGACCAGCCTGGCCAACATGGTGAAACCTCGTCTCTACTAAAATACAAGAAAATTAGCCGGACATGATGGTGTGCACTTGTAATCTCAGCTACTGAGGAGGCTGAGACAGGAGAATCACTTGAACCCGGGAGGCAGAGGTTGCAGTGAGCCAAGATTGCACCACTGCACTCCAGTCTGGGCAATAGAGCGAGACTCCATTTCAAAAAAAAAAAAAAAAAAATTAGCTGTCTGACATGGTTTGGCCATGTCCAAACCAAATCTCCCAGAATTTCCACAAGTTGTGGGAGGGACCCCAAGGAAGGTAACTGAATCACGGGGGGCAGTCTTTCCAGGGCTATTCTTGTGACAGTGAATAACTCTCACAAGACCTGATGGATTTATCAGGGGTTTCCACTTTCACATCTTTCTCATTTTCTCTTTCCACTGCCATATAGGAAGCACCTTTTGCCTCCACCATGATCCTGAGGCCTCCCCAGCCATGTGGAACTGTAGTCCAATTAAACCCTTTTTGTTCTCAGTTTTGGGTAGGCCTTTATCAACAGTGCTAAAACCAACTAACACACTGTCTCAAAAAAAAAAGCAAACACGAACTTTAGATAGAGAAAGCAATTTACAAAGATATGAAGTGTTCTGTGAACTGTTAAGTTTTACTAGAGGAAATATTTTACAGTCTTCTGGGAACAGGAGAAAGTGGGAAGAGAGAGGTGGTTAAGTATGCAAGAAACTAAATCATGAAAAATGAAGAGGAGGAGGATAAAGATCTAGGACACTAGGACATGGGTTCTATTTTTCACTTTACAGAATAACAATTAAAAGAAAAAAATGTGTACAGGAGAAAGTTTGACTTTGACATTTCAAGTTTTAAAAAATGATTCTTAAGGGCAAAGACAATTCCCCTACTGTACTACTGGTACTTTGTTAAGGAACTTTTGTGAAGAGACTTTTCTCACCAAACTGACCTCCATTTTATACAGACAGATTGAGTAACTTGAAGGCTATCCAGTTGGTACCAAGAACTATATAGAAAATATAGAAAATTCAAAATAATCCACAACTGAAAATGACTAAAAATGACTCTACAGACAATGCTAAGACTTCATGTTAGCACTAGATCCAAGAATGGAGTCTTATTACGTTACTTTATAATTCTTTTCTATGTATTTTGGGGTTTGTTTTTTAAATTTTCCTTTTTATGAAAATTTAAAAGAAGAAAAAAATTAAAAGCCTTAGGGATTTTCCCTAGGAATACAGATTACAAGGGATGTAAAGGACCTCTTCAAGGAGAACTATATACCAATTCTCAAGGAAATAAGAGAGGATGCAAACAAAAGGCAAAACACTCCATCCCCACGGATAGGAAAAATCAATATTGCGAAAATGGCCATTCTGCCCAAAGTAATTTATAGTGCCCAAAGTAATTTATAGATTCAATGACATTCCCATCAAAGTACCATTGACATTCTTCACAGAATTAGAGAAAACTACTTCAAATTTCATATGGAATCAAAGAACACCCCATATAGCCAAGACAATCCTAAGCAAAAGGAGCAAAGCTGAAGGCATCATGCTATCTGACTTCAAACTATACTACAAGGCTACAGTAACCAAAACAGCAAGGTACTGGTATCAAAACAGACATATAGACCAATGGAGCAGAACAGAGACTTCAGAAGTAACCCCACAAATATACAACCATCTGATCTTCAACAAACCTGACAAAAACAACCAACGGGTAAGGGATCTCCTATTCAGTAAATGGTGCTGGCAAAACTGGCTAGCTATATGCATAAAACTGAAACTAGCCCCCTTCCTTACACCTGATACAAAAATTAACTCAAGATGGATTCAAAACTTAAATGTAAAATTCCAGACCATAAAAACCCTAGGAGAAAACCTAGGCAATACCATTCAGGACATAGGCATGGACAAAGACTTCATGACAAAAACATCAAAAGCAATTGCAACAGAAGCCAAAATTGACAAATGGGTTCTAATTAAACTAAAGAGCTTCTGTACGGCAAAAGAAACTATCATCAGAGTGAACAGGCAACCTACAGAATGGGAGAAAATTTTTGCCATCTACCCATCTGACAAAGGGCTAATATCCAGAGTTTACAAGGAAGTTAAACAAATTTACAAGAAAAAAACAAACAAGCCCATCAAAAAGTGGGTGAAGGATATAAACAGACACTTCTCAAAAGAAGACATGCAAGCAACAAACAAGCATGTGAAAAAAAGCTCAACATCACTGACCATCAGAGAAATGCACATGCCAATAATGTGGCAGTTATTAAAAAGTCAGGAAACAATAGATGCTGGCAAGGCTGTGAAGAAATAGGAACACTTTTACAGCATTGGGGGAATGTAAATTAGTTCAACCATTGTGGGAGACAGTATGGTGATTCCTCAAGAATCTGGAACCAGAAATACCATTTGACCCAGCAATCCCATTACTGGGTATTTACTCAAAGGAATATAAATCATTCTGTTATAAAGACACATGCATACATACGTTTATTGCAGCACTATTCACAACAGCAAAGACATGGAACCAACCAAATGCCCATCAATTATAGACTGGATAAAGAAAAGGTGGTACATATACACCATGGAATACTATGTTGCCATAAAAACGAATGAGATCATGTCCTTTGCAGGGACATGGATGAAGCTGGAAGCCATCATCCTCAGCAAACTAATACAGGAACAGAAAACCAAATACCACATGCTCTCCTTTATAAGTGGGAGCTGAACAATGAAAACACATGGACACAGAGAAGGAAACAACACACACCAGGGCCTGTTGGTGGGTGGGGGATCAGGGGAGGGAACTTAGAGGATGGGTCAATAGGTGCAGCAAACCACCATGGAAAACATATATCTGTGTAACAAATCTGCACATTCTGAACATGTATCCAGGTGTTTTTTAGGAGAAATTTTTTTAAAAAGCCTTAGATATTTTCTAAAGTACTTAGGTATTTTAAAGAAAAAAACATAAAGAGACATGACATAACAGAAAGATAATAGCAAATCTAGGTATGGTGTTTTTGAATCATATTAAAGGAGCTGTCTATAAAGACCTCACTACAAGTGTAGTTAGAAGTCTATATTAATGCTGTATTTCTCTCAATTCTTTATTTTTCCATCAGAATTATTTTGTTAAAAAGCCAGTTTGAGTTAAGAAATGTTTAGTAGTAATTGTATTCAAGGTATATGTGTATCAATAAAATATATATCATAAATATGTGAAGTATATATATTTATAATATATAATGCTTCTAAGTATTACAGTACATATATGTGTATACTTAGACTTACATATAAGTCTAAGTATTACATGTCTAAGTATTATAGTACATATACTTATACATGTATACTTATATGTATATACATATAAATATTAAATTTGTTATATTTATTTACATTTTATTATATACATATAAATATTAGATTTATAAATATATAAATATAAATATTAAACATGTTTATAATGTTTATCATAAAATGCTTTCTAAATATTAAGATAACTTTATAGTAAATAATTTTCAGTAACTGAGAAAATCAATTTTGTTAAAATTGGATACATCTACTCATACTTATTTCTAGGTATCTCTACTTCTTTTAAATGAGTGGTCAAAT